AGGATCTAGTTCAAGACCAAAACCCATAAAAATACAGGCACTGAAACGATCCAAAATGATCTCCAGCTTCACCCTCCTCGATCGTACTCAGAGGTGTGAGGATTAAAGGATTAGTGGGATGTTTGCTTGTAACTCACCTAGCACAGTAACTGTCAAGGAAGAGGGCAGCCCCTAAATTTCAGTTCCCATATTCCCTCTAAGCTACTTCTCTAGCCAGACCCTGTCCTGCTCAAGACATTCTCACTGATCATGTTTCCCTTTGCCCAAGTTTAAAATTAAGTACCCAGGCCAGCAGGTGGCATCAAGTTCACTCAGTGGAGTGCCACAATCGATGGGTACTCAATGCTAAATGACCATAAAAGTGAAATCTATGTGAGGTATCACACTAGGAAGCCGTGGAGAAGAAAAAGAAACTTGTCCCAGGAAGCAAAGTTTAGCACTAAACTTAAAACCAGCTGCCGTGGAGTCAATGGCACCTCATGGCGACCTCAGGTGTGTCAGAGTAGAACTATACTTCGTAGGGTTTTTAACGGCTGATTTTTCAGATGTATACTGCCAGGCCTTTCTTCTAAGGCACCTGTGAGTGGACGTGAACCTCTAGCCCTTCTGTCAGCAGCAGAGCACATTAACCATCTACACCACCCAAAGGCCCCAAGACCACTATACCAGGTGCTGTGGAGTCGATTCTGACTCACAGTGACGCTACAGGACAGAGTATAATTGCCCCACAGGGTTTCCAAGGCTGTAATTTTTTTTTTAAATAATATTTTATAGAGTTTTTAGTGAAAGTTTACACAGCAAGTTAGGATCCCATTTGACAATTTTCAGACAAATTGTTCAGTAACATTAGTTACACTTATCAGCATGTGTCACTATTCTCTTTGTGTTCTGCTTGTTCCCTTTCCAGTTCTGTAGTTTCCCTGGCCCCTTATCTTCTCGTCTTTGCTTCTGAGTAATTGTTGACCTTTTGGTCTCATACTGATGGTCCGATCTTACGGGTAATATACTTTATTTTGTGTGCCACTCTGCTATTTTGCTAAAAGGTGATCTCAGGGGATAGGCTCAGTTCTAGGTTTAAAGACTGTCTCAGGGTGACAGTCTCAGGGAGTCCTCTGTTCTCTACTGTTCCAGTTTGCCTAGTTTTTTTGAAAATAAGAACTTGAATTTTGCTCCACATTTTTCTCCAATTCTATCTGGGATTATCTATTGTGACCCCAGTCAGAACAGTCAGTGGTGGTAACCGGGCACCATCCAGCTCCTCTTGTCTCAGGGTAGATGAGGTTGTGACCTGTGTAGGCTTGTTTCTTCTGAGTTTTTGGTCACCTTCTTATGTTTTGCTCCTGACGAGTAGAGACCCACAGTTGTGTCTTACATCGCTGCTTGCAAGCTTTTAAGACCCCAGATGCTACTCACTTCACTTGGATGCAGATCATGATTTTTGTGAACTATGTTATGCCAATTGACTCAGTTTTCCCATGAGACTATTGTCTAAGCTTTCAAACCCTGAAAACCAATCTTGGAAGGTGTTTGGTTATGTCTGTGGAGTATCCATATTTGTGTCTTCAATGAATGTATGTGCCAGCACGCACATATTTATATTTACGTGTACTTTTTATCTGTATTTTTATCTGTTCTCACCTATTACAAGCCTATACCTACCTCTACAACAATATAAAGCTATAAATCTTTATAAAAGCAGACTGCCACCTCTTTCTCCCGTGGAGCGGCTGGTGGGTTTGAAATGCTGACCTTTCCGTTAACAGCTGAGTGCTTAACCGTTGAGCCACCAGGGCTCCTTCCACACCACTACAGAGATTAGCAACTCTCAATCTGAGATGATTTCAGAGGGACAAGAGGCTCATAGAACCCACCACCCTCCCTGTAGTCGAGGGAAAACTCACTTCCGAATGACCAACTAAAGGGATGAACTCATACCTGAAACAACTGTGGACCTCCCCACAATAACAGACCAAGCTGCAGAGCAGCTCTCTCATTCTAGACTCACAGGGCAGAGTAGGAAGGAGTGGCTGGGGAAGGACGCTGGAAGGCGGACAGGTCGCCAGGTACAGGGGCTGCACGATCCTCAGAGCCCTGAAATGCACGCCCAGGACCGACTCTTATTGCTGCAGGCTCAAGTCAGGAGGCTAACTATTAAAGCAGAGGGAAACCAATTTGTTTTCCTTTTCCTTCCAGCCAAGTTTCTAGGTTAGAGGCTGGGAGAGAGGATGCTTTTAAAAAACTTCAAATCACTCAAGTGATTCACAAGAAACTTTAAGTGGAGTCAGTCTTAGGGCTTCATTAGGGGGAAGAAAACAATGCTTGAGTACTAACCACGTACCAGGCATAGCCATGAGTCTGGCAAATATTATCTCGAATTGTTAGGTCGGGGCAGGGGAACACTGTGAAAGCTAAAACTAGTCCTCCTCCACAAACTATGGCTATGATCTTGCCGGGTTCCAAAGCCCAAAAATAATTTGGATTACCAGCTAGCAAGACAAATTGCTTTAAAATATTGATGGCTCGGCAACCTTACACTGGAGACACATCAACTTCCTAGGCACCTGAGCAGGTCACTTACCTCCACTGTCACCCTGCAGTGGCCAAGTGTGAACGTACTTCCTAGAAACCTTGGGACATTCACACAAGGGACTCCAGCCAGACTCAAATCCGCTAGACCCCTGTCTCAATGGCTTGGATAAGGTACCTGCAAGTTCTGGCCATCACCTAATACACAGGACAACAGAAGCTAATCTGGGATGGGACTGAAGCTTTCCTGATTTGCATACCTACAGGATCCAGAGGGCCTCTAGCCTAGGGCCACATTTCATGGAGACTATACCCAGGACTTATTACCCAGAACCCACAAAACTAGTTGGAAGTGAAAGAGAAAAGGTTCAAACGCAAGTCAAAAAGCTCCAAAAATGTAACTTCACTTGTTCCCAGTGCTCAGGAGTGTTAAATAATCAGCAGATAAGCCACGTGAATGTCAACAACAGAGGAATTCCATAAACGATCAAGTCGGGCTCCCCACTCTTCACTTCAAAGATGGCCTGTACCTTTAAGAGGAAAGTGGATGGGTGGTGCTTACTAAGAGTGCAAGCTTTGCTTTCTAAATAAAGTTATGAGTTTAAAAAAAAAAAAAAGAAGCTACTAATTTGGGAAGGATTTAGCAGTTACAAGAGCATGAAAGAAAGGTTATAGTTGCCAGAATTAATAGCTTTTTTGTGAACGGTGCTCCTTGATCAGTAATTGCGACATCCAGGAGGAGCAGCAAACCAACAGCTATGACTAGACCGGGTTCAGCAGCCCAGATTTCACCGCAGGAGATAAATTTAAGCACCAAGTAGCCTGCACTTGAGTAAGGGGAACGACAGTGAGTTTAATCTCCAAAACCTATTGTCGAGTCGATTCAGGCTCATAGAGACCCTAGAGGACCGAGATGAACTGTCCCACAGGGTTTCCAAGGCTGTAATCTTTACAGAAGCAGACTGCCACATCTTTCTCCCGCAGAGCAGCTGGTGGATTCCAACCGCTGACCTTTCCATTGGCAGCTGACCGCTTTAACCACTGTGCGACCAGGGCTCCTCGAGTTTAATCTAGCTATTAACTAATTGCCCTCTAAGTACACCCCACTCGGCTTGAGAGGCCTCCACTCGCACCTGGCGCGAAGTCCACCGGGTTCCTGTTAGCGGCGGCCGATGGGCAAGAAGGCGCATGCCACCCTGGGCATCTCCCCGGAGGAAGAAAGATCCCGAATCGCCTAGGGCGTCCATCCCGTCTCGAGTCGGTTCTGCACCGCCCACCTCTCATCCCAGGGGTAGGGAAATGGCAGGATCCATAACCCAGTGCAAAAACTAGTAGAACACAGGAAAGCACGCCCTGAGGCGTCCAACCCACTGCCTCTCCACGTACATTTTAACCCATAACCCCGAAACAAGCATGGTCCCTCCAGACCGCAGGCCTGAGGCGGCGGGGGAGGAGGCGGAGGCAGGCGGGGCGCGACACGTGACACGCGGCGCCCCCGGGCGTGAAGTCAGCGGGCACACAGGGCTGGACGGCCTCCGCCTCTCAGGACAAGCTTAAAGGTGCTGCAAATGCTAATCCTTTCGGGAGACACCCATGCCTTCGACCTGCGGACCCTAACTCGGTTCAAACAGTCCCTCCGTCCGAAAAGGTTTCCAATCACAACCAGTCTCCCACAGACCATCCTCCCCGTTGCGCAGGCCGAGCCCTTTCCGCTTGTTCGCCGCACTGAACTCCCGGGAGCTGGGCTACCTGCTCGGGTTCACCGCTGGCTCCGGGCCTACGGTGCGGAGAACCCAGGGCGCGCCAAAGGGCCTAGAAGTTGGATGAGGTTCCTGAAGTTACCGATTCAACTCTAATCAATCCCTCAGGAAGAGGAAGGAGGGGCCCGTCGAGGCTTGGGGGACCTCCTCGCCCTTCTTAGTACCTGGTCCTGCCCACAGCCCGCCTCCCGCCGCCGCCTCCTCTCCCGGCTCAGACTGGGTACACACGACCTTTGAAAAGTAAACGCGCATGGGATTGGGCGACCTTGGGTGGGACGCGCCGGGTCTGCTTCACAGGAGGGCGTGCGCGCTCTGCGAAAGTTAAGCTGCAGAGGAGCGCCCCGGGCGTCGCCTCCTCGCCTCCTCCCCTGAGGATGGTGACACGGGTGTGAGGAATGGCGCGGCTGCGAGCACCGCCCCAAGCTACGCACACCGGATCCGTCAGCAGAAGCCCACCGGCAGACAACCCCGACGGCGGAGGACGGGGGGGCGCGCAGGCGAGCAAACGGAAGGGAACCCCCTGCCTGACAGCCGGCGGCAGCCCGGAACCCGTGCGCACACGCTCGGCGTCGGGAACCTACTGCCCATAGGGCACCTAGAGCGCGCGTCGCACCCTGCACCTGCACCTCAGGCTCCCCATCACCCCGACGGAGTCGCCCTGCGGGTCCCGGCAAGTGGTCCCCGGAGCAGCTGCCCCCGGCCGCCCCAACTTACCAGCTCCTTGGCGACCGTCGGGATGCAGAGTCCCTGCGCGGCTGCCGCCCCGGGCCCCGCAGCTCTGCCCCCGGCGACTCCCGCACGTGTTCGCCCAGGCTGGTGGAACACAGAGACATTAAATACTGAGGACGCGCAGGGACGTGCCCGCTGTGCGACGCAAAGCCCCGCCCCCCGCCCTCTTGCCCCCGCGTCCTTCCTCGCGCACCTGCGCGTGCGCGCCGCCTGCTGCTAAACCTCCCGCGCCTCGGTCACTCTTCTCCCAGCTGCGCCAGAGAGGGCGCGGTCTGGAGCGCTCCGAACATCCCACCGCCGGCGCCGGCGCCAGCGCCGCCGACCGGAGCCGGGCCTTGCTCGTGCTCTCGCGAGATGAGCTGTAATCTCGGCGGGGCTCGGGAGTGGGGGCTTAATACACAGCGGAATCTGGATCCTCTACTCAGCCAGCCCGGGGCAGATTTCCTGCAGGAGGCAAACCCTTTCCTACTCCCGCCCCGCCTCTGGACAGTCTCGAGGGGTCAGTTTGAGATCGCTGCCTGCTTGGAAACGGAGCGCCCTCTGGAAAAGCCCGGGGTGGGGGGGTGAAGGGTAGGCCTCCCCTTGCCTCGGGGTTTTCAGTTTTTTCGTAATCCCGGACTGCCTGCTCCAGGGTTGTAATGCGTAATTGAGTGATCGTTAACAATTGCTCAGTAACGGCATTAATAGTGATGATGATACCTGGTACCACTCAAATGCACTTTTGTCCATTTTCACAAGCCGGCGGTGGCGAAGTGAAACAGTCCTCTAAAGGGTTTGGGTTGGGGGATGATATCTGAGAAGAGAGGCTGAATCACCATGAGTCACTGACTCCGCCAGGATATTTGGGAAAAATAAGTACCCCCCCCCCACCCCGCCCAGAAGTGAAGAGGGTTGTGTTCCGCTGGCCAATCCTGTTTTCAGCCCTAAAACATAAGGACATGAAGTTAATATTTGTTTGGGTGAAATATAGGAAATAGATCATACTAATAGCTAACCATTCCTTGGGAAAATGCTTAATCTTCACTAGTGATCAAATGCAAATTAATATGACAATGAGATACCATTTACCTATTGAGTGTTGATAGAAGGGTAGGTAGGTAGGTAGGTAGACAGACAGACATCCCAATTGCAAGATGTGTTAAGTGCCATGAAGGAAACAAATAGAAAGCTGAAGTAGGAAAGAAATAACAAGAGGCCTATTTTAGGTGCTGTGGTCAGGAAAGGGCTGAAGTCAAATTTAAACTGAGACCTATTGGATGAGCAGGAGCCAGTCTTGCAAATTGAATATGGGCATAAGGGTTGGGAGGAATATCCCCCAAAGAGGCAGCAACACAGGCAATAGCAGGAAACAGCTTCTGGTGAACTGCAAGACTAGTGTTGCTTTAATATAGCGCCAGAGTAGTGCTGGGAAAGGGGATTGAAGACGTATAGGGAATCTTAACTTTGTTCTCTTTGGGGGTGGGGGCAGGGAAACTGGGCCACCATAGTAAAGCTTAAATTTTATTCTACTCTGCTCAGTCCCAAAGCCAGGCATGTTCTGCCTCAGGTCCTTTGCACTTGCTGTTTCCTCAGCCTGGACTGTTCTTCCACAGGGGTCTGCATGGCTCATTCCTTCACCTCTTTCAAGTCCTTTGCTCAGCAGTCATCTATTCAGTCTCAGTGAAGCCTTGCTGGACTCCCTATTTAAAATGGTAAGCAAGCACGCGTGTGGGCGACAACACACACATACACAATTTTTTTTCCTAGCTCTTATCACTACGTATATGCTGTATATTTCACTTATTTTATGAGGTAGGGATTATTGAGGCCCTGACATGGAGGGAAACCCTGGTGGCATAGTAGTTAAGAGCTGTGGCTGCTAACCAAAAGGTCAATGGTTTGAATCCACCAGGCGTTCCTTGGAAACCCTTGGGGGCAGTTCTACTCTGTCCTATAGGGTCGGAATCAACCCCCTACGGCAACCGTTTTTTTTTTTTTTTGGTGGCACATAGAGGGGAGTGCTGGTGGTGCAGTGGTTAAGAGCTCGGTTGCTAACCAAAAGGTTGGCAGTTTGAATCCACCAACAGCTCCCTGGAAACACTATGGGGCAGTTTTACTCTGTCGTATAGGGGTCGCTGTGAGTTGGAATCGACTTGATGGCAACAGCTTTTTTTTTTTTTTTAAATAGGTTTGCTATGAGTTGGAATTGATTCGATGACAATGGGTTTGTTTGTTTGTTTTGGTCAGCATATAGAGGACACTCAGAAATATTTAGTAAATGAAGGGAAAGCCATTAAAAGGGTTAAATAGAGAGTGACGCAAGATAATTTGCTTTTAAAAGTGAGTTGTAGCTGCTGTGTGGAGAATGGATTAGAGGGAGACAAGCGTAGAAGCAGGCAGACCAGTTAGAAGGCTGTTGTGGTGGACCAGGTGAGAAATGATGCTAGCCCTACCTAAGGGTGGTGGCAATGGGAATGAAGAGACTGCTTTACACTCAGGATGTATTTTGGAAGTAGTAGCAACAAGACTTGCTGATGTTGAGGGTACGAAAAGGGGAACAATGAACCAGGACGCCTCTAGCTTGAGTTACTGTGTGGACTGGGGTCCAGTTTACTGAAGTGGGAGAAGGTAGGGGCAGGGGAACAGTGAATCATAGATGGCGTTTTGGACCTGTTTGTACTGTTTTTGTGATATCCAAGAGCAAATGATAATTAAGTTGGATATGCAAGTGTGGAGCTCAGAGGAACAGTCTGGGCGGGAGATACAAATGCGTATTGAAAATCATGTAAAAAGGGGATAATTTAAAGAAAATGTCCTGGCGATGGTGGAGTTGGGACATGTCTACAGGGAAGAAAATGAGGAAATGATGTCCAGGGAATTAAGTCCTGGATGTCTTGGTAGGAAAATATGGGGAAAGGGAGGAAGTGGGAGAAAGAGGGAGATTGGGCTATGAATATGGTTATGAGAAGATGGGACAGAGGAGCCAAGGGTGGATGAAAACAATACCTCAGATCTTCGGTGTGGAGGCATGGACAAAGCCTGCCGGAAGAAAAGGAATGAGGGGAAAAAAGTAGGAGTGGAGCAACTGGAATACAAGGAAAAGTGCAAAATACAAATCAGAGAGGGAAAAGTGAGAAGACAGGATTAACTGTAATCACAACTAGAGATTAACCCAGTAGCTGTGATTATGGAAGTGACTGCCAGGTCAGGGCAGGTCAGCCAGCAGGTGAAAGGGATGGCCCTAGTCTAAGATAAGAAGGTAGAGGAGTGAGCCATTGAAAGGAAGTGAGGATGGACGAGGATCCTAAGAACTTGACCACGAGGAAAATAAGATTACATTGTTAGACTTAAACTTTAACCTCAGCTCAAAATGAACCTGTGCAGAGATGGACAAGTTTAACTTAAGGCCGGGATTTTAACCCAGGGTGCATAACACAGCTTCAAGGAGGTCCACGAGCCCCCTGAAATTCATCGCATGGTTTTGGAAATGTAACATTTTTCTGCAGAGATAGTTATGGATAGTGTTTTTCAGATTCTCTAATCCTGATTTAAAAAAAAAAAAAGTCCAATGGATAGAGTAAGACAGAGGGTAGCTCTACATTTAAAAAAGGAATATGTCTGTCAGAAGGAGAAGGTTAACAATGAAAGCACCAAAAAAGACACCCAAAAGGGAGAAGTGAGCAGTGTCCACCCAAGGGAGAGGGTATTCAATCCTATCTAATTAAGTAGCTGGCCTCACTGATAGGTGAAAATGGTCAGATCAGAACCTGATGCTGTTGTTCATTTAAATCTTACAACTCACAGCCCTCACTCTGACTCCATGCCCACCAAGCAGCCTTCTGATAATTCTCTACAGAGAGAGAAGCTGTGGTTGGACCAGGCACTGTGTTGGGATTCTGTCACTTGCTGAGTATGTCTATTCCAATTATGCATTCTGGAACTGGGGAAGTCACTGCAGAATGGATTCTGGGAACCACTGGACCCACTGTGAGACAGACCTGAGCTAAAACTCCATTGATAATCTGACTTCCACATGCCCTTACTGTGACTGGTGGGGCACAGTGGGTCTCCTGAGATAAATGTCAATTCAGAGTCAGTGCCTAGTAATCCCTGAAAATTTTGGTTATTTCCTTTTCCCCGATGAACAGTCAACCGGTAAAAAGACTGTAGATCCCTTTGGGGAAGGCTGGGAGAAAGATTAACAGTATAAATTTTTGGCAGTGCAGTGGGGTCCTTCCTTAAGGGGACCCAATCTCCTCTTCATTCAAGGAGTTGTAGGTCTGTAAATTGACTCATGTCTGGGAATTGATTGAAGGGCTGTGGCTCTCTGATTTGGTGATTCAAGTTAGACTTCTGTTCACTTGACCTAGAACTCTTCCACTTATGCAGATCAAGTAAATATTTTGTAGGCTTCCTATCTATTTCACTCCTAGGGGACGCGATGACCAACTAGCCAACGCCATAGTTCTATGTGAGTCAGACTATTTCTGATTACTTCTTAGACTCTTCTGTCCATTACGGTAACACACCCACCTTGTCTTTGGCACTGGTTAATAAAGAAGGCACAGGCCCACCTGACAGGTAGGTTTTTGTCATAAATGACATAAGTTGCCACCTCATTTTCTGCATCAGTATACTCTACTGCAAAGTGGTTACAAACATGGGCTCTGGGGTCAGACTGCCTGGGTTTGACACAGGGTCCTTCCTCTGTGCTGTGTGTTACAGATTATCCTACTGATACCACAAAACAACTCTGTAAACCCTATGAATATCCTCACTCTTCAGATTGGAAACTGAGGCTCAGAGCTGTTAAGTGACCGGCTCAAGGACACACATGGAAAAGAAAAGGGAATGTGAAGTAATTCAGCAGGTGATTAAAGGGGCCTTTTCCCTGCCCTGACAGCCCCAAGGTGCCGTGGCTTCACAGACGAAGTCCCCAACCAAGTGGCTGGCATACACGTACACAAATAGGCACTGTCTTAGTTTGCTCGTGCTACTGTAACAAATACCACAAGTGGATGGCTTTAGTGAACAGAAATTAATCTTCTCACAGTTGAGGAGGCTAGAAGTCCTAATTCAGGGCACCAGCTCTAGAGGAAGGTACTCTGTGTCCACTATGGGGGGAAATCCTTGTCTCTTTCAGCTTCTCTTCCTTGGTTCCTTGGTAATCTCCATGTGGCATCAATCAGTCTTGCCCCATTTGTGCTTCCTTGCTTCTGTGCCAAATCTGCTTCTTATATGTCAAAGTGATTGGCTCAAAACACACCCTACACTGATATAGCCTCATTAACATAACAGAGAAAACCCTATTCCCAAATGGGATTACATCCACAGGTATAAAACCCATTGCTGTCGAGTTGATTCTGACTCATAGCGACCCTATAGGACAGAGTAAAAAGCTTTAAAAAGCTTTTTAAAAAAATATTTTATTTTATTTTTATTGTTGTTGTTGAAAATATACACAGCAGAACATACACCAGTTCAACAATTTCTACATGTACAATTCAGTGACATGGATTACATTCTTCTAGTTGTGCAACCATTCTCACCCTCCTTTTCTGAATTGTTCCTTGCCCATTAACACAAACTCACTGCCCCCTAAGTTTCCCATCCTAATCTTTTTTTTTTTTTAATGTTTTATTGTGTTTAAAGTGAATGTTTGCACAACTAGGTTTCCATTTAACAATTTCTACACAGATTATTCAGTGATATTGGTTACGTTTTTCACAACGTGTCATCCTTCTCATTCATTGCGTTCTGGTTGTACCATTTCCAGTACTCTAGTTTCCCTGCTCCCTGGCCTCCTCGTCTTCGCTTCACAGTAATTTTTGACCTTTTGGTCTCCTATAAAAAAAAAAAAAAACCCTTTGCCATTGAGTAGATTCTGGCTCATAGCAACCCTATAGGAGACAGTAGAACTGCCCCACAGGGTTTCCAAGGAGCAGCTGATACATTCAAACTGCCGACCTTTGGATTAACAGCTGAACCCCTAAACAAGTAGCCAACAAGGCTCACCAACCACCAGACACGTCCTTCGACACAAAAGAAAAGCAGTGAGAATGGACAACACGCTTTTGGGGGACACAAATCAGTCCATAACAGGCACTGTCCAGGATCTGATACCGTCACCACCATGTGCATCTTGGGAATGTTTCAGCTGTACATTTAAGATCTTAAATCTGCAGTTCCATTCAGTGGATGGCTGGCAGGGGTTTGATTGAATATTTCTCAGAACCCCCTCCACTCTTCCCAGCTTCTTCCAGTGGCAATTCAGTGTGGAAGAAGAACCTGGGAAACTCTGTAAACTCCAACAGGCAGGGCTAATCCAAGGCCAGTTTAGCTCCTTATACCACAGCAAAGCTTATGACTGTAGAGAAGCAACTAAATCATCAGAGGCTGTTCTCTAACCTCATTTTATTACCTTTAGGGCCAACTGTTGAGGTCCTCCCCAAAGGCCACCTGTTTGTGCTGGGTGCCTGTGTGGATATTTGACATGCTTCGACTTTATCAGGAAACTCAGGGGGCCCTCTCTGGGTGAGGTTTACAATCCAGTTCTGCAGTATTTATTGTGCATACCATTCTGTGCACCATTGCAGCTGGGGTGGTCTGAAACAGCAATATCCAGAAGTGTCAAGTAGCTGCAGGAACTTTCCTGGAATGAGACAATTGGCCAAGGTGACTGTGGTGCAGTGAATTACTTAATATGGCCCTT